AATGATGCAAGAAACTTTCCTACGGAAAGAGATATCGACTTAAGTAGTACAGCAATTCATGAACTTCCGAAACCTCTGGTACTTCAAAGCACACCACCACGTCTAAGCATGACAGGCAGCCTGACCATCCTGGGACACATCTCTCCTTTCCTTCGCGTCGGCGCGTGGGAGGTGTAGCGCCTCCCAGATGCTCAAGGCTTGCTCCGGCGTCTCAAAGTACACCATGTCGAAACGGAGTTGCTTCGCCTCCTACGGTTGTGAAACGGAGCTTATCTTGAAGTTGCTTGTGCTAGCAGCTTGAAGCCCGTGAGAAGGTGGTCATGATTTCATATGTTCTCCTTCTTTTGGGGGGGTGGGAGGTCGGTAGAGCGCATGTAACCTCTGTTATCCAACTTGTTTTGGAAGAGACCCCTATACCAAGCAGTGTATCGATCTGTTCTACTTTAGCTTCTGATGGTTGAACATAGGTCTTGGCGCTACAGAACATCCTGGAAACCTAAACAACCAGAAACATACTATGATATGATATATATTTTATTTTATCAGGGAATGTTTTAAGTACCTATCAAAGTGGTACCTCCACTATGGGAGGCTTTATATACCTGCAGGTATATACCAGGTATATAAACCATTATTCTATGGGAGTGGTATGGGAGTGGTATAGGGAAAATCCTTATAGGAGTGGTATGGGGAATGTATTGAAGTGGTATAGGGAAAATCCTTATAGGAGTGGGGGAATGTAAGTCAGTGGTATGGGAGTGGTATGGGAGTGGCTGCCAGGATGCTTTGAGTTTGAGCAGATGCACCCACGTGCATAATTCTCCCATAACTTTATAGGAGAAATCCATGTCTCCAACTTCTTGAACCTATACTGCTCCCATGCACAGGTACCAAGTTTGCAGGTACTTAAAGGTTCTGTGGATTATATATATAGGAGGTGAGCTGAGACCCTCTATCTATCATTATATATACTTATACTTCATTACACGCTTACCACATAGGAAGTGGCTGGGAATGGGTGGAAGCATCCAGAGCTGTTTCTGCTTGGGACCGGGGAAACCCAGGATGAACGGCCGAGACCGGGTTGGCAGCGCGGCCTTAGCCGAAGCATCCCATGGGTCTACCGGGGAACTGAAGTAGCCCTCCAAACACCCAAAGACCCAAAGCTCTGGTGCCTGAAACTCCCTGCATGTCCAAGATTGTCTGCAAAGAACAAACTCACGCCGCTTGCCAGATTTTGGTGACGGTCAAAAATCAGTAAACATGTTGCATCCAAACACATTCACCCCCAAATATGGTGCAACAAAAAAGAACAATCACATAAATCCAGCCAACTTGCCAAAACAACACCACAAAGTGAAGATACTCGGCCACCCCAAAGCAACTATAGATCACCTACTTTGGCTTGCTTTTTGTCGTGTTCATGTGACGCGTCCTCCTCAGGATCCAAGAGGTCCTGGCGATGGGGGGAGGACACTTCTGTGGGCGGCACACACCTGGAACATGGGAATTGTGGCACACACAGTGGAACCTGAGATGGAGATCTTCTTGGCGCGGTGTTTTGTTGTCTTTGTCCTTGCTGTCTGCCTCTTCTTGGAGCTTCATGTCTTTTTGGAGTGATGCTTTGACAGCTCATGCTCATGCTCTATGCCGAGAGGCCTCTTGAGGACTCCACCGGGGAACGTCTTCGTTGATCAGCGGATCTTCCGCTCAATTCCAGCTTACTGCCCGAACCCTGAAGCCCCTGAGAGGCACTAAACATATCTATTCAAACATAGGAAAACATATCGTTTCGTTCAAAGAACAAAAAACAACCTCACGCTTGAAACATACGCTGGAAGCATGTAATGTGTATATATCTTTTTTATTCATTATTATACTGTACACCTTTTTTTAATATGTGTTTCACGCCCGACACACGACCCGTGCCGTAGTTTGGCGTCCCCAAATCAACGGCTTCCACCCACCCAGCTCCACCCGCCTTCGCTTTCGTGTCTCGCAGCTCCCAAATCGACAAGCCCAAACGGAACCTGCCGCGCCACCAGCCGCGGGTCCGTGGCGATCGTCCGCCGTGGCCGATTCGTTCAGTAAACGATGATGCCATGAGCGTCGGAGGTCTGTATTTGTCGCATTGCCTCTTGGCAAAAATCCGATGTCTCTGTTTGTGGATGCCATGGCTGGCCTATTAACCCATCAGTTGGGGTGATTGACCTGGAGTCAATGCACACATAGATTCCAGTCCCATGGATGGTCTGGGTATTGGAATTCCCAGGGTGTTTTCCACTCAGAGAAAACTTGGGAAGGGCGCCAGTTAATCGGACGGTACCAAAAATGAGAATCCATATTTGCCACCCTATTCGGTGTTTGGATGTTTTTGGTCTAATTCATTTAAAGGCCCTTGTCAGAAAGGAGTGGAAAGCAATCAAACTCCAGTGATTGATTCATTGATGCTTTTTGGATGCTTTTGGGTTTAAGCATCTACCACCCAGTACACATTGTACTTGTTTGGTGCTTTCCATGGTGCATCTCTTGATCTTCTCAATTTGTCCGTATCTGTAGACCCTCGTTCGAACATACAGTGGCACCCAGTTCTGGCGATCTTCTCGCTCGGGCCTGTCTCTGTCCACCGCGCGAAAGCAAAGCTCTTGGAGGCAGAATCCAAACCTCGCGTCTTTCAACGATTTCCAAGTCATTCACCCCAACCTCCACCCCCCAAAAAATGTCCTCTCTCAGGACTCATGGCTGAAATCTTGAAGAGGAATTTCTTGGCAAACCCCACATCAACAAATGGGAATTCAGCCGAAAGGTCTACCACACTCTGAGGTCTACATCCCGAAGCGGAAATCCATGGAAATCCGACGTCCGCCGGCTTCATCGTGTGGACCTTTCCGTGGCTTCGTGGACCTTTCAGTCTTTCATCAAAAGCTTGGCCTGGCCCAGAACTAGGCATTGGTATTTATTGTCCCCTTCCATCGGATCAAACTGAGGGGTGACCTTACTCTAATATGCAAATAGAATCATAGAATTATATATACACAAAATATCATAAAAGCAAACAACATAATATGTTACAGATGTTGTGTCATTGTCGTACGAAGGGGTCAATCCACGGCTTCTTGCTTTTCGTCGCGATCGCTCCGACACCGGGCGGGTCCACGAGGACGGGGGCGATCGAAAGCCATGCTCCGAACGCCGAGCACGGCGGGGGCCAACCCCACTTCCATGTTTGCAGGGACATGTCACGGTATTTCATCACTACGTTTTCCTCCGGCTTCTTGCATCTAAACAGCCACAGCCTGGCCACTGCCTGGTCACCACGGGGTCTCAACCAACTTGTCAATCGAGAACGCCGCTCGGCAGACGGATCAGATTGGGACTACAAGGCTCTATGTTCTCACGGAGCGATAGCCAGGCTCCAACCAGAAGCGGCTTCCAACATCTGCTGGGACCGCGTCCAAGAAAACGAGGTCCGGCGCTCCGGTGTTTTTCTTTCGGGTTGGACTGGGCACCCCACAAGCTGGACTTCCCTGGCAGCGTGCTGTGGGAGATGTTGGAGCGAAGCGTCGGCCAGAAAAATGGGCTTCAGGCTTCAGATGGAGTGGCTTGTTTTTTGCTTTGGGATTTGCAGAATCCTGAGGAACATCTTGGTTATACTGGAGATGGTCTGGTCAGAAATGGTCTGTGAAGGTGAAGTGGGATCCGTCGAACTGTGAAACGTCGGAGATGCCCAGCACCCGGAGATGTCCCAGTGCCGATTCCAGGGGCAAATGGGCCGAAATGAGGTTTTTCTTGGAGCCAGTTGACCTGTTTGTCAAATGTTGTCAAGGCAATTTCTCACCTGTATCCCTAGCTTTGTCAAGAAATCGACTACATGCTGTCGACAAACTCCTGGATTATACCATGGCGGCAAGACTGGATCCATTGCACGACTACCAAAGGAATGGAGACCAGACCGTTGGTGCGAGTGGCACACGTTGCCAAAACAAACATCATGTCTCACCCGGTGCCTTTCCAATTTGAACCCGTCCCGCTATTACTAAGGTTGTTGATACGCTTAGGATGTGAGCGCCTCTTCCATACTTGGTATCAGTGGGTCTCATCTCTTGACTGACAAGTTCACCGTGGTCCAGTCTTGCTGGCGATCATCCACGGAATGTGGGATTCAGATCATTGATCATTGCAATCCCAAGGGTACCATTATTATGTTTCTCCAATGAAAGCCAGGCACAAACACAATCAATCGAAAAATCCGCTGGTGTGCAAATTCAGAATTAGTACAAACACACCCTAGTAAACTTGTAAACTCTGCAATCGCTCAAATAAAAGTATACTGTATACTAGTATAATACTTATATATATATATATACACATGTGTGGGTAGTTCAACACAAGGCCTTGAAATGCATACGTAGCCATTTCTCCATCCTGAAACTATGGAACCTTTGTCGACATTCACACCTTTAAATCACCCAATGTCAGCATGAGCTGGTTAAACCATTGGTCAGGGGGTTCTATAAACCACCGAACTGGGTGGTGCTGGTATTGTATGCTTTCAGCAGCTTTTCAGCCCCCTCTGTTCGGCCGATGCTCCAGCACAGCTTTCGGTTCCCTTAGGTGAAACGCTTTCCATGTCGATGCATTTGCATCGTGCACCGAAAGAGTTTGGAGTCGAATCCTCTGGTGATTCACTGGTCGATATACAAGCAGGAACATGACAAAAAGCGAGAAGAATCGGTCCAAGATCAAAAGAATCGGTCCACCCAGTGGTGGCCCGATTGAAGATGGAGAATCACCTCATTCATGCATGTAGCAATGGTAGCAATATTCCACATAACATGTTGCATCTGAGGATTCACGGTTCTATCAGTTTGGGTGCCATCTCAAACCACTTTCTGCATGCCCTTCGTATGTCAATTCTCAGGCTGAGAGCAGGCCTACCAAGTGGACCAAAGATGTGGGGACTTTTCAAGATGTTCAATCAACGATCCAGAAAACAATGCCATGCAACTCAGCTATATATATATCATACAGTACTATGTCCATCTAGGAATCTAGGCTAAGTCACCGATCTGTCAACCAATGCGGCACGCGGCAAAAGCACTTCTACCACCTTCTACCACCCCAAACTCTGCGGAACGACGAGGGCGGCTCCAACCGAGCTCGAGCTCGAGCTCGGCTCCACGGTGAGCTCTCTCGGCTCATTGGGAGATCACCTCTTCACTTTGTTCGTTCCGCCCCTTGGCCTTGACCAAGCCTCGGACTCACGCCAAGGCTTGTGAGGGCGGAAGGTTGCCGGAGGCATCCGGAGTGGAGGGGGTACAATGCTCAGAGAGTTCGCTTAGAGCTGCAGGTGGTCTGTAACAGCAAAATTGGGGACAAATTCGGATCGAGTTGATATTTTTTGGGATGTCACACGAGAGGATTCAAACATCAATTCCGGAGTGGTTCCTTTCTGCCATGGCACAAGTAGCTGCTACATGTCTTGGTGGGGTCCATCTCAAGTACACTCTGACGAACACATCACAGGAGGTGGAGTCATCCCCTGTTGCTAGAGGAAAGTAGTCTTCGGGACAATGTTTTTCCATCCACTTCCATGTGTTTTACCCTCTGAGGGGTGCCACCGACTCAGGTCCCAAGACCACCGGAGCTATCCATCGGCGGGGAAGGTGCCGAAGACGACCTTCATCGACTTCGGTGTTTGGCCATTAACAGGTCAAAGCGAGGCCGTTCCACTACACAGGGGGGTCAAAGCGTTTCACTGGGGCTGAATGTCAAACTGGACCGCTCAAAACCGAAATCTCTCCCCCGAAAACGACCTGTGCTTTCCAATAAAGACCCACAACACCTGAAACATCGTACCATCCACTCAGACTCCATGCAAAACACCTGCAAGTGCACGACGACTCCACTCTCTCCCATACTGGATCACCCCTGTTGTTCCATCTCTTCCAAGTGACCCTTGGAAATTCCACCCGGAGGCGTGTAGTTCTCCGGTAAGCTGGGGCCTCGCCACTTCACACGGCCTAAGGCTGGCAGCTCTCCCATGGCCGCGCTCCGAGCCACGCTCGCCTCAGGGGACGGCGGGTGGATTTGGAACGCTTTGGCCCTGGAACACCCTCCAGCCAGTTCCTGGAACGTCCCAAATGGCTCGATGGATGTCTTGGATGACCTCCCTGAATCTGAAAGAAGGTGTGCACTAAGCCAGATTGGTCGCCTTGACGTCCGATTGGTCGTGTAGGCAACACCCAGGATTGAACCATCTGAAAGCATGCATTCCACTCGTGGAAGGTGTCCAGACTTGTTTCACACCAACACAAGAATATCTGATACCAAGATACCAACCACTATTTGTTTAATCATATATATATATATCCTATCCTATCCGTATATAAATACTATAAGACACATTAAGACACTGACACTACTCTAATCGTTTTCAGAACACCAAACTGGGAACTTCTCAGGGGTCCTCTTCAACGTTTCTCTGTCAGTCCAGGTGGCGGGATCATGCTCATCCAACAAGCGCTGCGCGTGCTCTGGCTGCGACATAATGGAACGGATGGCTGCCTCGGCACCTGAGAGCGGAACTGGCCGCCAGGTGCTGGGTTAAACATGATGAAAGCACGGGCCATCCAAATGGAACTCCCAAGAAATGCACAGAGCCACCCAGCTGCCACACATCGAGCACATCAGCTCACGGTGTGGCACCCCGCATGGATGTTGGACGTTAGAATGTAAACAGGGACTGACAGATCAGGAAGATCAGACATGATCAGACACCACAGCACGGGATCTGACACCTCATGATCCGCACAACCCGGGGGGGGGTTGGCGGGTGTGCCTTCCTTTTCAGTCTTGAGAGATGACAAATCGGTCCTCCCAGCTCCCATGAGTTTTCCTGTCAAATCAAACATTTGAATATCAAGCAACGTGCTTGAGCAACATCAATTAGTGTTTGTTATGTTGTTGTTTAACATTTCAACATCAATTTGCTCGTTCGTTTCATTCGTTTCATTTAGTGTCCATAAAACTACGCTCAGCGTCGTGTCAGTGCTATCTTTGCAGATCGTTGCCAAGATACGTTGGAATTCCAAATGCTGCTTCTTGTAGAGGTCGGCCTGGTCCAGGCTAGCGAATAGCGTCTGGTCCTTAGTCCTTCTTGGGAATCTTACTATATGTTGTTTGCATCATATATACTCCCAGTCGCTTGCTCAAGCTTTAACTACACCGGCATTCACAAGCTAGCAATGTTTAATTGCTTGGTACACTAAGTGCCTGATGAACTCATCTATCCCTCTCCGTGCTCAGCCTAACCAAACACAGGTCTGCCACAAAACTCCTCCCCAGTGCTGCCTACCCGTTGAGAAGGATTGACCCAGAAGACAAATACTATTTACAACATCCCCTCCAGACACCATCATGATCACAGGTCGTCGCCAAAACTGAAACACCCAAAACTAATTCTGGGTAGATCGCTCACATCAATCTCTACCACAATGCTATATAATCATGTATAAGTTCATTGTGAAAAATTATCCGGAGCAAGGTGACCTAGCACGCATTTCCAATGCATCACATCAAATCAGTGAATCCGTGGATGTGAAGTGATACTTCTTCATCCCATCCCCAAATTGATCAAGCCGTTCTTCAGAGGCCGTGAATTATTCTTCCCCCTAAAAATCCCTATAAACAGATATTGTACTAGGAGCGATCGGACGCTACGAACGGGGCTCCTGGCGCTACGAACGGAGCGAACGGAGCGCTACGAACGGATTCATCCGCCGACGCGTCGTTTACACCGATGCCTTCAGGTTCTTGTTGCGTTGGATCAAGCGTTGCGAATCCATCTGACGATGCCGGATCCTCCCAACGAGTGACGACGGTTGAGCGTCGGTGGATGAGGGTACCGGTCCCATCGCAGCCGGTGGGATGAAGGTTGCAATTTGGTGTGAACTCTGGGGTTTTGAGGGTGGATCAAGCGGATGAAACCAAAGAAAACAGTGGAAGGGGAGGAGCCTTCCACCAAGTGTAAATTGCAACTGAGCCTACTTGCTGGAACATGGATCTACCAAAAGCTGGATCACCCTGATCATGATCAAAATCTAGTGGTTGGATCCACATGGGGCTCTAAGAATCCTGTCCTGTGACTTATGTTTAGTTTTGTGGCTCCCAAACAATCCCAAGTATGGAGGGGTTGCGTGGCTCAATACGGGTCAATGATTGGCCAATGTTACTGTTTACACCTTGGGGAACCCCAGAGCGTCTGCCGTTTTGTGCTGGCTGCAGACTCGACTCTGGCCGGATTCGATGCCAAGACTCTGCTCGCCACGATCCCTTTGGATCCGCTTCAACAAGGCTTGGAGCGCCTTCTGCTGTTGAGACCTCCGTCAACGTCCAGGTGTCGAGCGGAGTGTTGGAGAGTGGTGGAAAATACAACAGCAAAGAATGCATGCTTTGATGAAGCTGCTATAACAACTGATGTTGTGTCCAGTCACGCTCACTCTCTTTCTCTCTCTCTCTCTAATATATATATATATATTATATATATTGTACAGTACAGTATATACACAATCTTCTGGCTTTCTGGGTGTCTTCTAAGTCTTGTTTACTGGCAGTTGACTCTCCTGGATCTGGAATCTTCAAGACACCAACCAAGCCGACCTGCGTCGGTGACCGAACATCTCTGGGACTGGGTCGCCTCTCACGTAACAGGCCACTTTTGTGCCCACAGCTGATTATCCAATCATGTAGACTGCAAGTGAATAAGACATATGGAGATGGTTTACCACTCGGAGATGTTTTACCATCTCACTGAGGGGGACCTTTATCAATCAACAGTCTACGAGTCTACACTCTACACCTGGTCCAGTCGACGAGTCACCGAGTCTACACCGTCAGGGCAAAGGACGAGCCAGGTCTGACAGGACGAGCCAGGTTTCGGAAGGGTTCATTGACCTCATTCTAGTGGAGTTGATGGAGTTGATCATTCTAATGGTTGGAATGTCTGTTTTGTAATGGATCGAGTTGATCATTTACCAGACATTACAGCGAACGGTTGAGTGGCCGCACGGAGAACGCGAGCCGCAGTTGTGGCCATCGTCTCTTTACAAGACATTACAAAACACTATATACTTAATTACACCCGGGAAGATTAACATGGAACCTGAAAATGGACCTTTGGAAGACTACTTTCCTCTACAACCCAGTGGTTTTCAGGTTCTATGTTAATCTTCCCGGGTGTAATTAGATTTTCAGGACCAGGTTTAACAGGATCAATCTGGGACTCTAGGGACGTGCCGTGCTACTCCAATCCCCCAGCTCGACTCGCCTCAAGCGCCCCTCTTGGCGCTTGGCACTGTCGCTCACTAAGGAGGCGCTCCGCGCTTGTTCCCACCTCGGGTGGGTTGGGTGGGGTGTATCTCCGATGCAGGGCCCGGATGAGGATGGTTACACTCCCGATGTCAACTCACGACCCCGACGTCCTGGCCAGACGTTTCAGGGTCCGAGTGTGAGTTTTCCTCGACCAACCGACGTGGTTTTCAGGGGCGGCATCGTCGACACCAGGGAGGTACCGGTTCCAAACCTTCCTCTTTTCAGGCGAGGCCTTCCTATCCGCGACGGCTCAAGTAACAGGACACCGACCGGTGAGTGGCGCTGTGACGTCATGGCACCCGACCGACCGGTGGTTCGGTGGTTCCCGTCCCTCCTGTTTCGTCCGTCGCGACCGGTGGACTGAGGGCGGGCTTCGAGCCATTCGCATGGTGGACCTGTTACCGCCTTCTGAAGAGGGGCATCGGATAAAAGTTAAGATCGTCCCATGAGAACAAAAAGACCATATAGTATATAATATATAGACGTTTCGCTGACTGGCCTGCCTCTGGTTCTTGTGGGCATTTGCTGATAGGTTTAGTCAGGTTCTTAGAAACTTGGCAAAGTTGACCCGAGCCCTAGCTGATCAGGTCATTTCAGGTCTGAGATTTTGCCCGTGCCCCTGGGAGAAAAAAAAAAAACGTGATTAAAAGTTCGATTCCTGTGAAGGAATCCAAGTCAGTGAGGCCAATGGATCTCGTATGATCTCGTTCTAGTTGGAGCGGAAGTGTTCAGTAATTTCCCATCAACAACATGGACAAACCAAAGATCTACCTGTCAAGCCACTGTTCCAGCTGGTCCCCTTCCTCCTTAACCTTCCACGCTTCTTCATACTTCCTCAGCTCGTCAATGTGTCATTCAACGAGGGCTCCCTCTTTCGATGCTGAACACCACCAGTTGGGGATGAGAAAAAATGCTGCGCGGCTGCGCCAAAGATCCGGCTCCCTTGGGAGAGCTTGAGGTCTGCCTGGACTTATGGGATGGGCCTTTAGCCAGGCAGTTCAACCTCTGTAGGTCAATAAGATGCAGATCTGTCTACCCCAATGACAGGTTGATCTCAGAATTCGAGAAGAATTCGAGTTGTCCTATCCACTCCAGGTGCGAGGTGCTTATGTTCTTTGGACACGGGCGTTTGTGCGAAACCGTGGACAAATCTCGGTCAAATCCGTGCAACAAAAACGTATGCAAAAAGCCTCCAACACTTCGGTGTCGTAAGCTCCCAAAAGAACACCTCACTCCCAGCATTGATGTTGCTGCCAACCAACGGAAACATGGTGGATAACATAAACTCCAAGGCCCTTCGCTGTAGAATAAACATGAATAAACATAACATCTGCATCATAGATGTGTCTTTTTCTCTATCACAAGTGCTGCTAGATTGGATTTGCCTGCCCATACTCTGACTTGACTCTGTAGGGTTCACCCTCTCAACTGGCCCCACGATGCCCGGTCTTGTCCGATCCAAACGGATATGTCCGCTCTTGGCATGTGGCCTCTCATGGTGCTAGAACCAACACGTGACACCACGTGACAACACATGGTTCACCATGGTTCACCATGGTTCACCGTACCGACCTGACGAACGGAGACTCTGTGTGAGACAGACCATTTCAAGATGTAGAGAGCTCCGGTTGCGGAATTGGTCGGAGTCTGCACCTCCGTCGCCTGCTCGTTGCCGCCAGGAGTCCCAAGCTTGGCTAAAGCTTCCTGCTTCCTGCCGCGCAAAGGAACGCTCGTCACGTCCAGTCGTGGTTGCCGTTTCTGTTTCGTCTGTGGTCCGTGGGTGCCCTGAGCTGTGTTTTTTTTCTACAGCTCTTGATGCGCGGTTTGACCATCTGACTCACTCACATGGAAAAGAGGCCTGTTGGAGATGAGAGTTCTCCTCATACCAGGTGGTTGTCCACTTCCATGTTAGTGAGTCAGAGGGTACATGGTTGTGCTTCGGTGGAGGCGGCTATGACCAAAAGAAGCTATCAGCTAAACAGCCAGAACCCAAAGTGTTTCATTCAAAGCCTTCGCTGTGCCCCTAGCCTAGCCGCGGAGAGGTCTCCCCGTGTTCAAAGATGATGGCACCTCTGTCTCATCACACGATACACTTTCATTTCGGCCGAATATTCAATGATATCCACGTGCACCGATGTATCCCAGACCATCCATGTATAGAACAGCATCCATGCATGCATGGAAGAGCTTATCTATATATGTTACGTAAATCGCATTCGTTGGATGGATTCGGTGTGCGGTCCCCACGTCGGAATTCCCTGGATTGGTGCTTTGGCTCTTTTGATTCTCGGATGTTACTGGCTTCTCGGAAGTTCATTCCCGGAATCCCACAGGTTCAGAAATCCGCAGGAAAAGACCACGTGTTCTTTGTCCCTACACCTCCAAGTAATTACCTCCTCAGGTTCCGTATGACGGGACCCGAGCCCCCAGTTCCGGTTCGGTACGAGAGCCCTAGCCCGGACACGACTAATGGGACTGGCATATGTACATTGACCCCAGGTCAACCAACCCTGGCCGTTTCTCGGCAGTCCTATGGCAGTCCCATGGATCGTCGTGTCTGGGTAGGGTTTGTGTTCGTTCATCTCGGCGTCCTCCGCAGCTCGAGCAGTTCTCTGGAGCACTTCACCCGCGCAGGTTGTTGGCCTCGAGCTCGTTCGGCGCGGCGCGCGCGTACGTGGCCACCGGGTCGGGGCAGGCAGGGTGGACCACCTTAAAAGACACTTCTGTTTCTTTGACTTCTTTGCAGCTCTTCCAAGGTGGTCTCTTTAGAGCAGGTATATTGCTTAATAATACTTAATACACACTCCCTCAAGATCCCTCATGGTCATGTGGGCATGGGCCCTTTTTTTAAGGTGAGAACGACCAAAAACCAATTCGAACCAGTTCGATGAGGTGGTGAACGAACCAGTTCCGATGAGGAGAAAAAGGGAGTGCACTTGTTTGAGGCATGGGATGTTCCAGTTCCGTTGCTTTTGGGGGATGTTTGGGGCACCCTCAGGGCCTTTCCCAGCTGCCTGCTACCCAGCTCGGTCGCCGGTTCTGGGACCATGTCTAAGCTTCCAACGGGGCGGTTTGGGGCGTTACGGCTCCAACACCAGTGAGAGCATCGAACCCGTCCGGCGTGGAACGTCCTATTAAGGCTCCTTGGCTCCCTGTTTGAAGGGGGTCCCCGCTCCTTAGCTAAGCTCCCTCCGAGACCGACAAGCTTGTCATGAGTGGATCAGAGAGTGCATGCCATGGCAACCTCCAACACCCCCATACACCCCAGATCACCAGGCATACCCAAGGCCATCACGTGGTGGTTCATGCAGCGCGCGGCTTGCCCGCCAAGGCACGGATCATCTCCTGAAACTTGCTCAATTCTTCCCCATGTTGTTCCTTCAGTCTTTCAAGGCTCATGTAGGCGGTGGATTCGTAGTCCGCCATGTACTTGTCCCAGGCATTGGAAAAGCCCAGGAATTGCGCCCTTTGAGCTTGTTCCACCTCCATCATCTCTTGCCTTGGCTGGCTGAGATCTGACATAGAAGGGAAAGATTTCTTGTGTTGTAGGCCAATGTCTTTGATCAGTCAGTTAGTTTCCAAACGACAGACTATATGGACCAGGCCATCCAACACCATATTCATCCACCGTCTATGTTCCGGTCGTTTTCCCTTCTCATTGCATCGCAACCACCTTTCTTCGGATCAAAAGAGATTCCGAAACCTCTCGACTCATCTGGGAGGATCCTGAAACTACGTTGAACTCAGCCAAAACAAATGGGTGATTCCAGTTGAGTCACCTCAGCATCCTAAACAAACCATGTTTCTTGGCGAAGTCCGAGTTGCTGTTGGGCCTGATCCACTAATCTTCTCTGACGCTCTTCTTCTTTTGCGCGCAGCTCTTCGTACTTCTTCCGAGCTTTCTGTGCCTCGACGTACCTCGCAAGCGAGGTTTCGCAGGGGGCTTCTGGCGCCGCTTGAGGCTTTGCTGGGGCACCGAATCAATGAATCCTGCCAGCACTCGGTCGGCACTCCATCTTAAGAGTCTAACTTCTCGGTCTGAGAAGACTTGTAGAGTCTTCAATTTGACATGTATATGATAGATGATATGTCCATATATGTCCTGTGTGTGATAACTTCGACATGTCCTCTCCCGGGAGAACAGTGACTTCTTTGTCTGAGCTGAGGGACTCTCCATTGCTTTCACACTGCTTGCGATAAGCATTCAACCGCTTGAGAAGCGTTAATGGCGTGGTGGTTTCACCATCCACCACTTCGCGCTCTTGGGTCTCTTCCTCAGCGCAGAGGCTCGGTGGATTGTGGGGGTTATGATTTGTTGGATGTATGTTTTGTTCATTTTTTGGTTAAGTATGGTTTCATATATAGTTTCTTGGGTAGTCAAGTGTTGTGTTGTTCCTGGTGGCTTTGTATTCCCCCTCCAACAGGTCCAACGATCATGGAAGTACATGGTGCAGCACTACAGAAACTAGGCCTAAGCCGAAGGTGGCAGGTTGCTGCCCTAATAACTCAATTGGCATGCTCTGACTCACGACAGCAGTAGGGCTCATGAAGCACGCATCAGCCATACTGAACGTGGACGCGGCAAGTGTCACAAGCAGGCAAAAGCAAGTGGCAAAAGCAGCGCTGCAGTATCATACATAACAGCAGCATGAATTACAGGACTCATGGCATGGGGTACGGTCTGAAGCATGATGAACCTAAACAGCCCGCTGCCAAGGTAATCGCAAGCCATCTGATAGGTGCACGGGGAATTTAGTAATATAATCCGTAGGCTTGCTGAAAGGTGAACTCATCAATTCCTGGAGGAGTGAAGTTCTGAAAGACCGTGCCCTGTGATCACACGGTCCTATACCGCTGTGGGAAAATGCTGCGGAGCACACTGGAGAAAAAGCTCGTAAGAACGTAATTCACAGTGGTAAACGACATGCATTAACGTGCAATTCACAGTGGTACCGGAGATGCATTCACACTTTACAATCTAGTGACCTGAACACCCTAACTAGTGCAAAACGACCTGAACCTGTCAATGGCGCAAACGGCAGGCGGCGAAAGAGTTAATACATATATTGTTTAACAAATCTTCTCGCAGAGCAGGTACACAATGTGGCATCCCACATTGTGTTCACCACGAGCTGACAGCATCTTCGTTCGGGAGTGTCTGTCAGTGCACTGCCTACCTACTCTGAATTCAAAGGCGACCTGAAAAGAGTGCTCCTGGAAGGGTTTGACACAACTCGCCCTTCTGAAGCCACCCACTGCCTCCAAGGACGCCAAGGCACGACCTTCTTGAGGGTTTGCACCACCTCCTCGAAGGAGGCCAACTCCACCGAGCCGCTCCCACTCAGCTGCCGGGCCACCTCACGGCCAATGGGCAGATCCCGACCCAGGTTCAGGATCAGCTCCGGGATGCCTGCCGGTTCAGGCGCACCAACAGAGCGGGATGATGGAAACTGCTGTACAAAAGCCCAGACACGACCCATGGGACTGCCATATATACCTACATTGACCCCTCAAACCACCCCAATGTATGGCATACATGGAGTGTCTGAGTTGTGTACATGGACATCCCATCCATTTCTGACCGCATGTCTTTAACGCCAGTCAGTCCCAGTCATCTGTGGGGAAGTGAAGCGTGACTTGGTGTCTCCGGGTACAAGACCTGGTGAAGCTGTGGTGTTTGGAGGCGGTAAAATGGGGGGGGTGGTTCTTGAGAAGACGGGAAGAAGCCGCATGTGATTGGCTTGATTGTTTTTTTTGTTGGGTTCTGAAATATCTGGCAAAGCAAAGATTGAGTAAAATCAGTTTGAACATACAAAGACCCACATGTGGTGGTCATTTGCCTTTTCGTCACAGTCACTTGCGGGGATATCTCCGGGGTTTCCTGTGTTCGGACTCGCACACTCCGATGCAATCCCAGCAAGAAGTCAAAGACCTCATTTTACTGGATGATCACACAAAAACACTACTCAGTGCGCTAAAGGACCAGGTTTTACTGGGTCAAACTGGACCTCCAGGAATCGTCTTGGTCATTGTTAAGTTAAAGCCGCTGTAGCTCCGCCAAGGAGCGCTCAACCCTCACTTTGCCGCTCCCATTGTGGTCATACTCTGCAAAGATCTGCTGAATGCTGCCTCGCTGCGCTCTTTTTAACACTGTGCTGACCCTGGAGGTTACCTAGAACCCAAACATGACCTTTGTTTTGATAGGAATGGGCAAGTTGTTTTGGTGTTAGTGCGCCAAAAGTTGGAAAAATAGAAATAGATTTGGTGGAACAGCATCAATCATCAAAGCAACCTTTGCCTGTAATGGATGGTGAGCACCTACAACACGCCTGAATGGTAGGTCCTGGGGGAGGTATGCAAAATAAAGCACTATAGGAGGACAGGTCTTAGGGGGTGGCTTGTATCATGGGAAGACTTCTCCGCATCACAACACTTGCATGTTTGATGTCCATGAGTAGAAAGCCATGTCCATGATTCCACAGTGATTCAATGAGTGCAAAGGGATTTGCTGTCCAGGAACCCCCAGCGTTGGAGATTTACACAGGAACCGGACAAATCCAAATCCGCCCCCGAAATAAGGACTTGGTGAAGAGCCCACCCATTGAATCATCCAGTGCTTCAATCTCCTGCTTTGAGGCAATCCAGTCTGCCTAAAAATCTGTTTCATCCTACGCAGCTTTGAAGAGAGTGGATCCTGATGGCTGACAAAACTAATTGATACATAAATCAGCGTGAATCGCAGCGTGAAGATGTACTCATGTACTGCAATTGCAGGCTGACCACTTGCTGGATGAGGCAATGTGAGCTCTTTTGCTTTTGTTTTCCTTCCACAAGCCACACGCAGCAAGGGTAGCATACAAACTAGTGTCCAATGCTGAAACATGACCACTGGACCTGGATTTACCTGTGTTCTTTGTGTGGGGAATGATTACCTGTTTTCTTTGTGTGGGGAATGAGGGGGTCAGGTTAACTAACTCCGTTGTCTATGGGCCACGGAAATTCACATGGTCTCGCCTTCGCTTGCACAGTCATGGGATTGTCTCCCTGATGGTGAACGATGGCGCTGGTTCCGGGGGACAAAGGATGCCGGGACGGTGGCCCAAGAACCAGCGGTACACCAGCAAGGTTCGAGGAAACCATTCCCAAGTAGGTGTCTGTCTGTCAAGATTGGCCAGGAATTCCAGGTTTCACCTAGAGGTCTGTCTGTCTGTCTGTCTGTTTGGAGGCAGCTGCAGCATGCTATGCAGTAGCATGTTAACACCACACGGCCGCCCCATCGGCGATCCCGCCAAGCGACTGATTTGCCCCTGGTACTCATCCTCAGATGGGCCACCTTTCTGCCCCTCTGTCATGGTCACCGGAGCGGGTACTAAAAATATAGTACCCAGCAATGGAAGGAATCCTTGAGCCATACCAGGAGCACCAAAAGAAGGCAAATTTAGACTTGACAGCTGAAAGTTCATTTCGGAGTCCATCGATTCCAAGAAATCACCAGCTACGCCTAGCTACCCCGTCGTCGCTTCTAATCCAATCCCAAACACTCCATGGGACTGCCATATATGCCGATCAATTGGGGTGGTTTGAGGTCAATGTAGGTATATATCCCAGACACTCCATGTATGCCATATAGACCCCCAAACCACCGTATATATGGCAGTCCCATGGGTCGTGTCTGGGAATCGCTTTTGCCGTCGTCGCTGAGGTCGCTGTCACCCGACAGCGGTCGGTCGCTTTAGAGCGGTCGCTGTGGTGGTGGTCGACACGCGTCGACTTCGACCGGTTGCCGACGGGTCATCGGTGTGTGTAAGAGCTTCTTGTTACTACTAGTAAGGCACTTGTTCCTAGTAGCGATGCACTTGTTTCTAATAGCTTCTTGTTACAAATGTCATTTGACTGGAGATGATCATAGTAGTGAAGCACTACCGATGGTTTCACGCCAGGAAGGGTCAGACTGGACCTACAGTCGGGGGTTGAATTGCTGAAGGTCCATTTGAGGTTGATTTGTTTGGAATTCTATTTTGTGCTTGTGCATGTTGCTGATGTTTCGTGGGATGGTTGGTTTTGTGAGTGGTGCTACTTGCTGTTGCTCCTTTATCCGGAGTTCACTTCAGCTCGGCAAAACTAGTGCATATGCAGCTATTCAAACACCACCGGAAACGATGCGGGGTGTGCCAGTGCCATTGCAATGATCCTCTGGTGCCTTGTCTTCCAATGTTGCCGAACTGCCCACTGTTCAAGCCATGGTTGCAATATGTTAAGCAATCAATTCAAAAACACTGACACAACCCGCGTCACACTTCCAAGCTTAAACCACTTTCCCCAATGTGCCTCCGCCAAAGAGCGCGGACTCTGACACCTCTTGGCAAAAGAGTTCAATTGCAGGAAGAAGAATCGTGTGGCTATGTGTGGCTAGTGTGACCTCTTGGCTACTTTTGGACTCGACCGAACAACCTTTGGTCTTTGACTTATGATGACCTCTTGGAGGGACTTGTTATAAGGTTTACCAATTGTATCCGATTTTCATCATAATTATCCAAGCTAATAACTGGTAAACTTGCAACCGCATGGTAACCGATTGTATTCTAGCAACAGCAAGCTACTAGTAAATGCAAGAGTGAAAACAAAAACATGTCATACTCATTGATCATCCAAGTTATAGCTTGCTTCTAATCCCGGATCCCCAGGTCCGTAGGTTCCCATGTCGCCCAAGCACCAAGAGATTCGGATGGACAAACCCCGCGGAAAAAAGCATCCAGCAGCAGTGTCGGGGCCTGACTCCAGTTCATCCCTAGGGCTCCCAATTCCTACGAGACCAAGTCAGACCTTCATCTGTTCCACTTCAGACCTTCATTTTCATCGCTTCGGTCTAAGTCCCGAGTCTCATTTCAGTCCGCGCGAGCGGTGAGTTTCTCATCGGCCACTGCTGACTGTGTCTGCAACTGTGTGAACACCTGCAGCCCCCCCCAAAAAGACCACGCTTCGTTGACCCCCCTGGTGGTCTGTATTGTTTCTCAATCAGTCTTTCTTCAGGCTGTTCTTGTTTGGGTGACTGATGTTTCACCCCCGCAACTATCTGCCCAAGACGATCTTTCATCTCGGCGCACTCCTGGCTGACTGAGAGGATCAAGGCATTGAGACCATCCCACAGCCATTCCACCGCCTCGAAGCGGTTCGGAACGGCGGTCAAGGGCGGTGGGAGACTGCCATGGAGTGCGGTGAAGGACGGGACAGTGGTGACCGGTGAGGAGTTTCACAAGATCCTCTCAGTTCAAGTGATATGTCAAACCCACTCCCATGTTGTTTCTCTGAGACTGGGAAGCAAACTGAGAAGCTGGGACAACTCGAAACCGGAACAAATCGTGAGGGTTGAAATGTCATCAAGAGCCTACAGTATGTAGACATCCCACAAATGGGTCATGCAGTTAACAGTTCCTGGTCGAATATCTGAACTGAGGCTCCTCACTCATGGACAAAATAAGTATATATAGATTGTACATGAAATTGTGATGCATGTGTAGCTGCTGCCTTTTTCAATCAGCGCTGGGTCAAAACCAGTCAGAAACATGTTCGAAAGGCGGGTACTAGTGCTTTCCTGTTGTTTCTCTTTTCATTGAACCACTGCCCAGCGCCTTGAGGCATCCAAGATGACCGCCCACTAAGTCTGCAAGCAAGGCAGTTACCACCCTGTGACTCTTCCAGCTCAAGAGCTCACCTCACGGCCCAAGGTCTCGGAGATGGACACCTGTGGAGATGGTCCGAGTGCCAAGTGGTTCAGGTGGAAGTTACGGTCCAAGCTGCTCGTGGATTGAGAGGACCAGACTCCCATCCCGGTGGTTGATGTGGACCCCCCATCGGTTCAGGGCATCATAGGGTCTGTGCCATAGACCTTAGAAACCACTGTATCAGAAAATGAAGATCAACATAGACCGAGCACAAAAACGGGTGCACGACCAGGCGACCGGCAAATGGGTAGTGGATGCATACATCCAAGTACCTGCAGGACCGACAGATCGACATCTGTCCAGGACCAACAGAAGGCATTCGTACTTGTACCACGTCCAAAATTCCCTCCAGGTTTTCCATATGTCCTTGTCTGCTGATTTGTCCATTGGCATTGGTGACATTAGATTCCATGTGTTGGACGTTGATTTCTGTGACCTCAAACAGTTGTTGATGATTTTGGGCAAACAGGCTTGCTATGAGCACTCTTGCGACAAACCAAGAAAGGACCTTCACAAACCCAAAGGTATGTTGGATCCGTCACTCAGCACCCTTTTTAAGAAGGTGTATAAACCCTCCCTGCACTCAAACGAGGATTTGTCTCCGCACTTCGACTCCCAGGTCGTAGGGTGCACTATCACTAACGACCGACGATTCGCAGCCGGCTTTGCAGATTCACCAGAGTGCCGGTTTTGCCATGCAGCTAAGGAATGCTTGTCCCACATAGTCCTGGAATGCCCGAACATGCCCGATCAACTCAGGGCATGCGAGCTCCATGAGTTTGGAGTCAACTTTCCTTTGCTCGGTATTTTTGAACATCCGGTGAACATTGTCAATCATCGCTTGTGTCAACCTGCTCCACTAAGTGCTGCACCGTCGTTTGTTGACAGCGGCAAAGTATGCGACGTCTGGACCGATGGGTCCGTGGTGATGCAAGATTGTTTTTGGCTCACAGCGGCTGGCTTTGCGGCCATAAATCAGGAGGGAGCGTGCATTTGTTCGGGTCCAGTACACCACGTGTCGCTGAACTCCTATTCTGCTGAGCTGTACGCCATTGTTCAGGCGGTTTCCCATGTAGCATGTGCCATACGCATTTGGAGTGACTGCCAGACTGTGGTGGATCAATTCCATGCCATGTTAAGTGCTGATGCAGTCGATCCACATTGGAGCCATCGATCATGGTGGCGATGGCTCCTCGACGCGTGGCACCAGCGGCTCCGCTACCATGACACACCAATCGAAATACAGTGGATGCGCGCACATGTGTTTGACAATGTTGCTCCACACATGATCACGGACGTCATGCTCCAGAATGCAGGGTTGACAAGAACGCAGGTCTTACGCAACCAAAAAGCTGACCAGACCGCCAAGGCGAAAGCTTGGAAAGCTGCCGCGGTTCATTCTTCAATGTTCACATTGGTTCAGAAGCGAGTGAACGAACGACAGTTCCAGTTGGCCAAGTTGAATAAATGCATCGGCGACCAATGCTCCCTTAAGGTGGTCACGCCTACCAAGGATGAGATCTGCGCTGATGGCAGAGCATTTTCGCCGTCCCGTTTTCCAACTTGGAACTGGCATCCATGTATTGAAGAGTTTACCTGGCAACCACAAAAGTGTCCTATCATGTTTGATGCTAAGAGCAAATTCTCCGAAACCGATCAGAATACAATTTTGGAATTCTTGCAATCCCTCAAATGGCAGACTGCTGATGACAAAGGAGTGGCCTTTGTAGAGCTGCTTTGCGTCTTTGTGGGGAGAGGATACAAGTTTCAACTTTTTTCTGATTTGAGTGTCGAATTTTGCGATGTGTTAAAGCACTTCAAACGAACCATCGTCGCCATCATGGCCACTCCGGACCAAACACTGATTCCGGGCCTCTATCGTTCAACAGAAGCATACAAATGCGGCAGGGCTCTTCCTAAGGGCGCCATTTTCGGAGCCAGACCTCTGTTCACGTTTGAGGAGCTTGAACGGTTTGCGGGCATCTTGTTGGAAGGCTGTGGCCAAAGTCTGACTACTTGGAGATTCCCTCTTTCGATGTGCTGTGCATAGTTCTTTTGTCTCACATGTTTTCTTTTACGTCGTTAGACCTGAGTGTCTGCGATGTGCCTCCTACAATGGGAGGTATGGGAGATGCAACAGAAGGCGTTCACCAAACCACAAGGATCCAGTGATTTACCTGGATCCACATGCACTCGTCATGAAAGCACCCAACTTGGTCTTCCGGCATTTGCCAAAATGGATTAAAAGGAGGTGTACACAAAACACATCAATAAACAACCATCCGCCAAAAAAAACATATACGTACTCAATAAAAACACCTTGAATAGTCACACCATCACAAAACAACACCCTAGCCTTCCAAGACCATCAAAAGAAAGGTTGACCAGGTCTTGTAAAATGCCCCAAGGGTTTCACCACTGTTCACCATTGTTTTGTGTTCAGGCGGTTAAATCAATGGTGGGTCAGGACTCTCTCCAAAAGACCAGAAACGTGGGTTTTCTCCACTCCTCCCACGTGTGCCTGCGACTCCCAGGGCGAGAAGGCACAGCTCACACGCCAGGACTGAAGAAATCGACCGGTGACCCCGGTGGGCGAGGCTGTGGGGCGAAGATCGAAACATCGAGGTGGCAAAACAGAACACACAAATACTTAAACTAACATATTAAGACATCTAAATATATGGTTGTATAAACATGTGTAACCAATTAAATCTATCAA